TATATATATAACCATCACCTTTGTCCCTATATCCCCTTCCATTCTAATCATTGTCTCTATCTCTCTCCTCTCTCTCATAAGCCATGAAATTTGGCAGGTGAGAAAGATGGCAATTGACAGAACCCCAATTGGGAGTAGGACTTTTAAGGTGAAGACCATGTTTTTCTCCAGAAAAATCCAGTTGGAGAGAGAAATGGTGGAGAGTTGGTCCAGACTCCAGAAGGATTTTGTTGCCAGCCACCGGGGAAAAAGAAACGGGGGGCCAAGGGGGGGGGGGAGTTGAAAGAGGCCTAATGGGAAAAAAAGACAGAGAAAAACAGAATGATTTCTTAAATGAAGAGGGGCAAAATTGGGATAAAAATGCATGGACCTCTTTCGACTGTATGGAAGGAGGTACATGGGATAACGGCAAAGGGGATAGATGTCCTTGGTAAATTCAAAGGATGGTATTTGACCATTCTTTATTCATGGGGTGGTGTAGATAACTTTCCCACTAAGGAGTTGGACTCATACACGGTAAAGTTATCCAAAACCATAAATGAAGTTTGTAAAATAAATTTTACCACTTATCCAAGGCCAGGACTTCAATATTCTTGCCACCTCAACCCATTCTAATCAATAATCGGTTTTCCTTTTGGTAGTTCACTTTATAATTTCTTTCCATAATTGATTGGGTATACAAGAATGGGAAATCTGTACCAAGGGCGTCAAAATTGGGTTCCCATCCCTGTGTCCTTTCCTCTTAACTCCTTTGATCAGTGAGTCAGCCACTGAGTTCAATCCTCAGACTATATGCATAAAACATTATTTCACTATCATTACATTGGCCAAAAATTTCATAGACCATGGGTAGGTCGCTTCCTTACTAGCTCACACTATAACATTCTTTGAATCTCCTTCCACCACTACTGAATTCCACTGAGTCAAAAGGAGTCGAACCCCATCTAACAGTGATCGTGCTTCAGCTTCATTTGAACTGCACATTCCACTTGGCTCAGAGTAGGTAGAAATTACATCACCTTTGTGGATCCGGAAAACACATCCTATACCCTCTAGTCCTGGCTTCCCCAAGAATGTACATCAAAGTACAGTCTGATACTTATTTCCTTTTGAGATTGCCAATTTTCTTGTCTAAGATATGACAATAATAGCATTCATTTAATCTAAAATGCCTGTCCCTTTGATGGATAAGTTTGAAATATTAGTTTGTCTCTTTTGGTCCATAGGGACCATAGCATGGCAACAATAGTCATTCTCCATAATAGTAACTCTTGGGATGGGAAAGGAGGAGAGAACCAGTGCATGAGAAAGTCCATGATGAGGGCCAAACCCAGTTAAAATCAAATAGCTTAGGGAATGAAGACCAAATCATTGTGGCCAAGTCAGCATGCGAAAGGAGGTGGTTCATGTCTTCCTCATGGTTTTTGCACATAATACAACAAGTTGTGATCAGCATTCCTTGGTGATCAATCATGAAAACCTTATCAAGGATAGCTGTGCCACACGAGATTGGATTATGTGTGGGGCTAGAAGTTTTGAAGAAATCACAGCAGTAAAAACACTGATTAATAACTGAAAATTAAAACAACATGAAGCATATAATCCATGTGTCTCAGGCGGCCTATACTATAGGGGGGAACTTTGCGCCAGGTGTAGCTCTGAAGGACAAGAGGTTTCGCCTGACCTCTGGGTCTCAATCGTGATAAGTAATGATGAGTAACACTAGTTGCATAGTTTAACCTATATAATCATTAATACCCATGACCATCACTCCACAATCAAAGAGAATGCACAAATCAGAGGATCCAATCATTAAAGTTATGGGGCATATATCAATACCATCGTTAACACTTCAACTTAGCACACAAGGGAAGACTTGTGACCAAGACAGAAGATATCTTATCCACACAATAAATTTTGAAGATTACTATACTTTCATATTATCCTACTTTTTAGTGAGTAGTGTTTTTGTGGTTCTCATGTTTCAGCAATTTTGTGCCTCGGAAGCAGCCTTGCAAACTTTAGAAGGCAAACCCCTCTCAATGACCAAAGTGGGCAATACCAACAGGATGATGGAATTCCTCCGGGTGAAATATTTTTTATTTCCTAAGCAAGGGGAACACCAACCTACCACCTAAATCAAACCAGCAACTGACAACTCTACCTTTGTTCACTAGCTACAATTTTCACCCCTTGGCCAAAAGTATATGGCACTGCCTGCTAGGAGTCGGAGCCTAGTACAGCTTCACAATTCAGTAAGGCCCTAGCAGCCACAAAGGGATCTGATGGCCATAATGGAGCATCTCCTTTATTCTCTGTCAAGGTTAAAGCCCCTCCCACTAGGGTGGCAATTTGGGAATCTGACCGCCCTCCCACTAGGTTGGCAATTTGGGAATCTGACCGCCCTCCCACTAGGGTGGCAATTTGGGAATCTGACCACCTACTGTCTAGGCCTGCCAATTGCCATAGTAGAAAAACCATCAAGCTCTTGTCAGTGAAAGGAGCTTTACTGATCTCCAGTTCCTCGCCATAAAACCAAACAACTGCAGAAAGGATAGGAAAAGCAAGAGTAATGGAACCCATTCAATTTATTTATTTATTTATTGGATGATCACCGATTCGCCATTGTAGTGATTGTTTACATTTTGAATAAAACTGAAAACCAATGTGATGTTCTTTTTGTTCACCAAGGTAAGATGTTGCCCCGGCATCCCATAACATTCTAAAATATTGTAACTCTATGTACTCCTTTACAAATTACTAGCAAAAACATATTGCAGAACAGAAAAAGAGAGACTAAAATGATATCAGGAGGGGTTAATATCATCAAAGGAATAAAATAATGACACCGTTATGATCTATAGAAATGCTTGTTGAGCCACTTGCTGATCCATTTACAACAGGAGATAGTTGCTACTTAACACAGAAAAAAATCCGGCCTAGGGAAACTCAAAACATAATAAGAACAATGCCTCCATGTCAGCTACCATCACCTCGTCATATATCAAAAGTCAAAATATAATAAAGACAAAACCACCAAGGATAATGGCAGTACCCTAAGGCCATAAGAGGAATGTACATTATTGTGGCCTTTCAGGACCTGTTCTAATTGATGAGCAACCTCATTTTTTTCAGAATTCAAACGCCTAAATCACGCAAATGAGATGATGAAAGAGAAGCCAATAATTGAAGAACACAGCTGCTTCACTAAGGTATATGAAGCTCAGCTGTCTTGTCCCACTCATAAACCTAATCTTCCATTCCTAGATGATTCCTAAATCATCTCTTCACCAGATTAAGATGTCAACTAATCTTCCATTGGCATTTCCTAGATGATTCCTAAATCATCTCTTCACCAGATTAAGATGTCAATAACTAAGGACCACATTGGCACTATGTTTCGCTGTTTGATAGTCTCCTTGACATACAAATTTTTTTCCACTTTTAAATAGTGCCCTTCTAATAAAATTGTATAATATACTTATTAAAGCAAATGAAAATGAAAATTTGTATGATGTGAATTTGACACAAATAGTGAGTTTGGAATGACCAAATGTCACAAAAACCTCATGATGTAAAGTATAACCCTTGTACAATCAATAGTATCATTTTGTTTGATTTGTTTTAGTCATATACAAATCGGCTATTCGTTTTAACGGAGTGTAAATCTATGGAATGCATACAATGCTAAGTACGGCTTGTCGAGCAACTAAAAGATGAAGTCCAATCAGCCCAAGTCTAATAAGGAAACAAGGATGACTAAAGATCACTAGGATAGCAATAGATTTAGGCAAACAGAATCCATCCCACACACGTTTGAAATAATATATCCCTAAAATGGGATCAGCATAAAATAAAATTATAACAGATATCATAGAAAATTAGGAGAGTATCTATTCCTCTTTTAGCCACCATTTTCAAGGACAAAAAAAAAAGAACAAAGTCTAAACTCTAAAATATTCATCTTTTCGAACTCGACAAACCCTAATTTATCAAATCCATCAATTTAGAAGCAAACATGGGTGTTGAAAAATTATTGATCAACCCCATGCTAGAATTTGTTAAGAGTTTTTGTAATGCTTGCATTTTATCTTATCAATATATCGAACACAATAACATCTTTAATACTTGATGACAGAATTGTTCCAATCCATCCATGGCAACAACGAGATTGCAAACCATTTATCAAAAGAATAGAAAAAAAAAAAGCAAATGTGCACTGCTTATAGAAACAAATACAGCACCAAAACTAGAGCATTCACTTAAAGAAAAAAAAACAGAGAGAGAGAAAGAGAGAGATCATTTGTCACAATAATTCAACCCCAAAGCAAAACCAGAAAATAAGAAAAACTCAACATACATTTACCCAACCTTGAAATGTCCAATCCATTCAACAAATAACACAAAGAAACATTATTTCTAATTTACAAGAAAGCAACGCAATAACCTTCTGGCTAAAAGAAACAAAACCGATAAATCACTGGCCCCAAACAAAGAAGAAAACAAAGGAAATTCATAAAAGTAAAATCACTCACCTGAAATGTGAGGCTAAATGGATTCTTAAACCCTCGCTTCGGTAACCTGCGTCTCAATGGCGTCTGACCTCCTTCAAAACCAAACTTCATTGTTCCTCTCGCCTTTTGCCCCTTGTGACCTCGTCCTGCTGTTTTCCCTTTACCAGACCCAATCCCCCTTCCTTTCCTCGTCTTCTTCTTTCTTGATCCCTTATTATCTCTAAGATCATTTAGACTAAGAAGGCTTGTTCCAGTTCCCGAACTCGCCATGGCCAATCCACTGAAACCCCTGATTCTCTCAAACAGAGCTTCTTTTCTCTCCATTATTGTAAACTGTGGGTGACCGTGGTTTGGGGGGAAGAGAGTTGAGCTTGAACGAGGATAATGGTGGAATTGTATGGCTAAGCTGGATAGTCTCTTCAACATAGCTAGGCTTGGACTTTAAGAGAGAGATAGTAATAGCACTGCAAATGAGAATGAAGAATATTGTGAATTTTACATGAAATGCAGTGGTTTTGCAAGTAGAGTTACAAACTTTTCTATCAGGTCTTTGCCCCCTGATGCGCTACTCTCTCTCTCTCT